ATATTTAAGTAAAATAATTAACTAATAAATAATATAAAATATAGCTTTTAATAGTAGATTAATATTTTATTTATAGAGTATAATTAATTATTAATAAATACTATAAATTATAATATAATAATAATAGATAAGATATAAAAGAAAATAGGGTTTAAATTAGATTAGGTTTATATATAATATAATAAAGTAAAGGTAAATTTAATTAATTAATATAAATTATAAATAAATATTATATATTAAAGTAATATTATTTTATATTATATTTAATTTATATAATATATAATTAGATATTTATTAAAGAGATTTTAGTTTTTTAATTATAAATATTATTTAAAATTATTTATTATAGAAAATTAATAATTATAAAGATTAGTTATATAAATAATTTTATTAATTTATTTTCAATAAGGTAAGTTTTTTTTTTAATAACTAAACTTTTTTTATATAAAATCTTTAAAAAATATTAATTTAAATACTATAAAAAGTAAAAGCTAGGCTTAAACTTCTAGTAATATAAGATAAGTAAATGAAAAAGTTTATAAGTTTATTAGGTTTAATAAAGAAATATTAATAGATATATTGAAATAAAGCTTTAAGTTAAGATAAATTTTAAACTACTAAATAATAAACTTTAAACTTACTATAATATTATTATAAGTAATAACTAATAATAAAGGAAGCTAGATTTTCTACTAATATATATATATATATATATATATATAAGTTTTATTTTATTAATATTAAAAATAATAGTATTTTATGTATTTATAAAAAGTTAATTAATAATAGTTTAGACTTAAATAAAATAGTTTTATAAAGGTTAAGTTAAATTTAATTATTATTATATTATTAGTATATTTAAATTAGTTCTATTTTATGAAGAAATAGATTAAAACAATATAAAGTAAAAAGAAAATAAATAAAACTCAAAAGCCTTAAAAATTATAAGATAAAAGATTAGAAGATAATATATTAATAATAAAAATAATTAAATCTTATTAACTATATTCTTAAGCTATTTTTAGTTATTAAGCTACTATAGTAGTTTATTAAGGAGTATTATATTAAGAGTGCCTTAGGTATTTATTATTATAACGGTTATGATTAGTCTAGCTAATTTTCTAGATAGAACATCGTGTGTGAGGGCTTTTATTAAGTTAATAGCGTTGCACTTCAGGAGAGCGCCCGCCTGTTGGGGATGGAGGATGCGGAGGTGCACCGCGAGGTACGCCATGTGTTCAACAAAGAGCCGTTCCAGGCCCGCCCGCTGGACAAAAGAGTGTACTTATATCACTCTTTCCAAACAGATAATAGGGATCACTGCCGAGTGGGGACACATTCTCTCTGCGTAGACACTGGCTGCTCTAGAGTGCGCGCTGTCAGTATACATAGCCCAGTTATCATCATCATCATGCTCAACTCTAATGGTCTCTCAGCGGTACGTAAGCCTACCTGCTCGCCCGCTAGCCTTCAGTGACGGCATAATCTTCCAGAGCAAGTTTGAAGTGATTGTGAATGTGGACGTCAACTGAAACTGCAACGTATGCACGGCGCTAAGTTTAAGTTAGTAATCAACCAACCAACCACCTAACCACAAACCAACTGACCACAAGAACGCGACCACACCGCGCAACAATTGGTGGGTCTACTAGGCACCCATGTCTGTACCAGACCACTGCGCCCCGCGCCAGCAGCCCCTTTTTGGTGCCAGGGGTTTCAGCCGCTGCCACCACGCCCACTAGACACCAGCCAGCCCCGTCGGTAAGCACTCTCCCCCATACATGCAACATCGAGGGGCTTTCGATAACCTGATTGTTCCGCACGTAGCCTCTGGGCCATAAGTCAACAGTATTTCGTCGCTATAGAAAAGGTCATAATGTCAACAATTGGCGCCTCCGAGCCTTCAGGTAAGAACACAACTTGAGAAGAGCCCTCAAAGTTCGACCGACTGCGACCCCGCCATAAAGGCGCTGACAACGATTGTGTTTCGCGTTTGTCTCGTTGCAATCCATCTAACTCCTTGATACAGGGCAGCAAGGGGCCAAGGGAGCGCACCTGTCCGCAAATCTTCTTTCGAATAATCCCTTTCGAAATCGAGCAGCGTCTCCGTCGAACGCAGAAGCAGCAGCGGCCAGTTTATCGCATTCTCCGTTTGACGACCCTGCACCTCACCGACCACTTTCGCGCAACCCGTTCCTCGACCAACCTCCCGCTGTGCGATCACCTGGCGTCGTATCTACCCACTCTGGCTCCCAAAGCTTGTCAGCGGAAGACATTTTTGTACGTACAGCAGCCGATCGTCACTACCAGCTCCGCGCGCGCGCATAGCACCTGCTTCCAACCCAGTTGCTTCCTTCCGGAGTCATGCGACTCAGTTTTGATGAAACGCTACTGACAGGTATCATTGTGTAGAACTCATTGACTCTAGACGATAGCAAGCCTGTAGATTTTCAGCCATCATCTCTACCAAACGCGAGGCGGCCCATGGAGCGACGCGCACCACCCACCCGGTCTGGCGAGAAGTCGGGGCCTCAGCCTCTGCCCAACATGCGGAAACACCGACCAACAAAGTCTCAAGAGGAGGCTCTCAAAGCAAAAAGACAGGCCCAAGGCTCCCAGCCTGGATCATCAAGGTCTCCTCAAACAAAGCCCCCACGCCGACCACGTCGCAATTCCGAGTCTTCTATAATGGGCTTCGATATAAAACCCATCACGGACGAGGAGCGGAGAATGATCGAAGAAAAGCGACGCGAAAAGGACAAGCTACGGAGAGAGGTCCGTGATGGAAAGGACAAGGGCCGATCGGGCAAACCGAGCCGCCGGATCGATATTATTGACCAGCTCGATGCCACAAGCATATACGGGAGCGGGCGTGAGTATTCTTGCTGGACTCGAGCCAAACCTTCGTTGCTGACCAACTCGCAAGTGTTCCATCACGATGGCCCCTTTGATGCACTGAATCCGCACCGCAATCGGCAGAGCAGCCGCCGCGCCCCAATGCAAGCTTTTCCGAAAGACTCGCTCAACAACTCCCTCGGTGGTTCTGGTCCCCTACACCAACAAGCAGACCATTCGACCTTCATGGGACAAACCGATGAGGCGTTCAGAGACTATGCTGCCGGTGCCCGAGCCAAAAATGCCGCCATTTTTAATCCTGTATCTCGTGGTGATGTGATCCATGGTGATGAAAGCCATGGATTGGGCACCTCAACTTTCTTGGAAGGAACTCCAGCCACTCGGGCTGCCATCACTCGGCGTCAAGCGGAGGAGGCACAAGAGGCAGCTATGTTAGTGGGTGTACAGCGAAAAAAGTCTTTGGCGCACCGTATCCGGCATATGAACAAGGGGCCCCGGGAGTTTCACGGCGCTGGACAGTATTCTCCCGACTCAATGCCCTCCCGCCCTGCTGACGGCTCTGAGCCCAACCAATGCTATTTCTCTGAGTTTGGCAAGGGCGAAGATAGCATAACGGTCAAACGTCACGATGTTACTCTTTCGCCGGCCAGCCCGCCGCCTGTCCCAAGACGTGGCTCTGGCGCAGCTCTCGAGAGGCGAGCCACAACAGACGCCACCAGCCCAGCGGAGGTGATATCTGCGAAACCAAGCGGTCTCATTGGAAGAATGAAGAGTTTAAAGGGTGGCAGAAAGCCTAGAAATGTAGACGGCGCCAACAACGCGTCAGCGAACCAGAGCTGAGTGTCCAGTGAAGCTGTATGCGACTGAAACAGGACGAGTTCACTCGTGGGTGGCTGAGCGTTCGAGACGCAGTAGCCGAAGCTATGCTGGCTTTCAGGCATGTCGACTTGTGACCATGCTAGGGATTTGCTACTCATTCTATGGCGCGTCGTCTTCAACACGGCTGCCCGGCTACGCCACAGAACTGGTCCAATCTGATTTGGGAACCCCCATTTTTCTTATTAGCTAATGCTTGTTGGGGGCCAGAAATGTCGATGCAGCCAGCCATGCTGCGAGGCTGTATTTGCTCGGCGACATTCACTGTTTCGCAGTGATGGGTTAGTCAGCAATAACCTCGATATTTCTATCTGCAAAAACGCAGAATAGCTCTAATGAATGAATTGACATTCCCTTAACAAAGCTGGAAACGTATTGTGCGTAGCCCTGGATTCCTCTGACTTGTTTGTATGATCGTGTTCGTGTGTCTGTGCTAAGTGACCCGTGTGGGGCTAGCTAACGAAGATTGCAGGCTCGCCACAACTGTTAAGTATGTAAATACCTATTCGCATCTGTCTAACTCGATGAAGATGAAGTCTTACAATGCTCTGGCCAATATCACAGATGATTCTAGTCAGCAGCCTAAACCTGTCAGCGCGATAGTGCTTGCCTGCAAAGAAGCAAGCCTGCGTGATCGTCTCGCCAGGTTCCAGCCTGTCAGATACGGATGCACAGAGCTGGACGGCGCCCTACTCCGTGGTGGCCTACAGAGAGGTTCCATTGTAGGTATCAGCGCCGATTTCGATGGCTTTGGATTGTTGGTATGCTTCGTCATTTCGCTTGCTCTACAACGGATGCTAAATTGTTTAGATGGGTTTGCAAAGCATGATAAGGGCGATCTTGGACGGCTCAGTGAATCGTGCGTTAGTCATAACGCCAAAGCCCTTGGCATCTGTTACCAAATTGATTGTGGGCATCCTCAAATCTGAGCTATCAAATTACGAGTTGGACCCGGCGAAACTTCAAGAGAAATGTCATACTAGCCTGGAGGGCGTAATGCTTTCGGTTGTATTTGATATAGACGGCATCTGGCAAACGTTAGCCGAGCTTCTGCAGCCTGGCAACCGAGGCACGCCGGCTTCTGTTGAACTGGAAGAGGGCATCACAAATGGCCTGAATACCGAACGAGATTCACCCAACATGGAGATCCATGATAGCAAGGATGAGGGTATGTCACCATCAACCGAACACGGTTGCATCGTCTCTGAAAATGGAACTGGGCCGCCATCGTTTGAGGCTCATGGCAAGCGCTCTTCAGCCATGAGCCCCCCAGAAATCATCGTGGTGACTCATTTCTCGACTCTCCTTACGTCCTTGTTTGCTAGGCGAGAGAATGCGGCAGCACATCAGTCATTGGCACTGTTAAAGACGCGATTGCGCTGGCTCTCGCGCTCCTCAAGCATGCCTCTGCTGTTGCTAGTCAATTCCACTATGGAGGAGCCAAGTACCAAGCATAAAGCTTCGGCTCCTGAGCTCAACGGTCTGGCAGCGAGTAATAGAAGCTCCGATGCCACGCTCCGTTCAATATTCGCCTACGTGCGCACTCTGCGCCCCTCAAAACCTAGTTTTGGCATCGTGTTCAACCAGTTCCTCGATTTACATCTTCTCTGTACCGATATATCGGGCCAGGAACGGGCCAGCTACAGCCTTGGAGAACATTCTGCGTTGACGCAGACTAGCCACCGACGCCTCGGTCCTACATTGGTAGAGGTTCTGCAAGACAACTTAGAATTAAATTCACCCCATGCTCGCGAGTGTCACCGTGAGCAAAGGTGGGCTATCTTAGATGTGTCTAATCAGCAAATTGTGAATGCATATGAACACCATGAGTCGCAGGCCAAGGGCAAACAAATACGAAAGTAGAACAGTTCAATTCCAATTGATGCCACTGCTGATGGGATTTGAGATACATTTTCAACAACGATTACAACGAATTAACTCAGTATCAAGATCAATAGCTTGCATACGACGCCTTGCGTTCGGGGCCTTTTATATATTGCATGTGCTTTTCACCAGAAGTGTTATCAAAGATGTACTGAGGAATCATATCTGCCGCCAAGGTGTGGAGCACCTGCGATAATAAAATGCTCAAGATAGTGAGTGCTTTGCTTCGCTCGATTTCGCTTCCAAAAATTGCAGCCCCTCTGCCTAGAACAAGAAACGAGGTTGCTATAAAATCAAGGTGAAGATGAGCCGGGCACGTCCGAACGTCGATTGTTCTTCCAAAAGTCGATTGCCTCCACTACATCTTCGCCCTTTTCATCCTCGTAGGCATACAAAATCTAGAGTCCAGTTAGCTGTGGCTGTTCTGAGGCCTCAAGGACCGTTGCACTACCTCGTGGGTGCTGCTATGCAACATTCTGATACTCTTGTGCGGCACAATGTGGACGGTACCATTTTCAATGTTGCGCAGTTCTATAAAGTTGGGCTCAAACGCAAGGATAAAGGGGTAGCTTAACGCAAAGCTCTGGGGCGCGCCTTCCCAGTCGATCCGCCACTCTGGGCGAGCTCTCCAACCATTACGGTTAACAAAGAATGAGAATTCCGAGTAGTTCAGCAAAAATTCGCCATTCAGCCGCTCGATGTGTATCGGCCGCACTCCTTCTCTCCGAGCAACAAAATCAAGCGACGTGTCGGCTTGGTCAAGTAGTGATTGCGTCTCAAGAGTTTGCAAGGACACGACCTCGAACCCTCTTGCGCAAGCTACACAAAGGACCGACTTGAGGAAATGCACTGATGTAGATTCTGTGGGGATGTAGAATTCCTTGAAGGGCCGAAGTTCATCGTGGCCACTACTGATGAACTTGCCAAGCCCCTTCTGTTTCTTTGCCTTTGTCATCGCGTCATTGGGCTCAAAAACTTTGATGGTAGTCGATAGTGCGGTCGATTTTACGCAGCAAACGAGGTGTCTACCTAGGCAGATACCGGTCTTGAAAAAGCTGCAGTGATTTTGTATCTTCTTCGGTCTCTTGCCCAGGGCTGGTTCGTCAGGGCTCAGAGCTGAAAGAGCGTAGGACTGCAGGGTCTTGTTTGACAGGACAAGCAGTAACTGATACTCCTCCAGAATATCGATCTGCGTGACGCTGGGCGTTTCGAGGACTCGTCTTGGAATTTGCTCCTTGACTTTGCGATCAGAGACATAGATGCCGTTATCAGTGCCGTACAGTAATTTCCTGCCACCGTCTGTAGTAGTTAGTAAAACGTCATCACTATCATAAGTCGCTATTATCTTACCAAACGGCGTGACACAATTCACCTGATTGGTACCTCCAAAGAAATTGCTCGACATGGTAGTGGTATTGAAGAAGTCGGCGCGCGCGCGAAGACGCTGCTGAGCGTTGTCAATGAACTGTAGCCATTTCTTTCTTGCCGCTTGATTGGAGGCATAAAGAGTTTGTTCGTAGCCCGCTTTCCCCAGATGGCGAAATGTGATCGGCCAGCCTTCGCCCTTTTTGGTGTCTGATGTAGTTGTTCGGATAGATGGGATGAGACTTGAAGATGACCGCTTGATGGAACCCTGCAAGGGTATTACTTCGTCCATCTCTCGGATAGCAAGGAGTTCCAGAGGTATTGGCCGCCTGTACGCAGTGATCTCTTCCGTCTTGCCTTTCTGCTTGATACGAACCAGCAAGACGGCATGGTCAAATAGAAAGGCTGTAATTTCGGCCGGATCTGTTGGTGACTTCTTAAATTGGCTCTTGAAGACCAGCTCGCGTCCTTCTTCGGTCAATCGAAGATCAACCCTCTCATTAGGTTTGAAGCGCAGCTGCTCGTGCAAGCGTCTCAGATTGAAGCGATTTTCGGCCTTGCCAGATTCTGCATTGACGCGGCCGAGGAGATCCCTGATCATGGTGAGCACTTTAGGTATGTCTGCCTTGTCTTGACTGTCATCTTCTGTGTACTTGAGAACGTTTTCAAGTAACAGAGGGTATCGAGCCAATCGAGTAGTTGGTTTTGTCAAATATCCGTTGAGTTCGAGCTTGCGAGACTCTCTCTTCCTTTCGATTTCGTCGACGAAACTGGCAAAATGAGAGTTTACTGAGCGCTCGTTCTCGAATCCAAATTTACCCTCAAGCTGCTTAGACCCGTACCAGATGAAAGGCTCAAATTGGGGCACATATTCCAGAAAAATATCGCCAATATTATTGACGATTGGATCCTTTTGTTGACGAGTGGTAAGAGATGATGCAAATCTCGAGCTGACAGTGTGGATACTTGGATGGTCAATGATGTTACTGAAGATTGTTTTGACGACCTTCTCGCGACGCTGAGGAGGGATGGGCGACTGCTTTGACCGAAGAGGAAGAATCCAGAAATCGCGCAGATACTCGAGATCCTTGACAAAGTCTCTCTCCGTATAACAAATCTCGGAAATCACTTCTTGCCTCTTCTTCTCCCGCTCTCCAACAGCATCCGCTACTTCCTTCGGAACCGAGTTGATCCAGAGCTTTTGCTCATCCGTCTGATCTGCTTCGTCATCGTGCAGATTGGTTGCGTCATCTTTCCGAAGCCCAGGGTTGATTTTTAAATTTAGACGTGACACCTGCTCCAGTCTGCGAGGACATGCAATTGAATAACAAAGCTGCTCCCGCGTACAAGTAGGCGAGTAACATTCTGAAAGCAACACGAAAACACCGTTGACAGGTGATTTATCTTCTGGTTCATCGATCAAGGTTTCTCTGAACTGATACATCTCAGACTGGGAATCCCGCAGGCGATGCTCATAGGTTACATCGTGAAAAAACTTCTGAGCATCCAGGGCACGGCCAAGAAGCAGAGCAAGATTTCTATCCGTCGTCCTAATGATGTAGGATAACACGTCAACAGCCTCAGAGCCACTGAAGGCATTCTTGTACGTCAGCTCGTTCTTGGTACGGTCTCCGACGTAGATTTTTTGTCTGAAACACTCAGCCACTCGAGAAAGCAATGCAGGGTAGACAAGCGGTGGGCGTATTTTGGTTGCTGTTTGAGGGCGCTCGCTCTCGATAGATTTACTTCGAGATGGTCGCTGCACTAGCGTGGTACTGTCAGACTCGGAAGGTGTGACTGTCGGCGCAATGCTAGATGCAATGGACAAGGTTCGAGAATGCTCATAAGTGCTTGTTGATGAAACCATGCTCGTAGTTCTAGCCTGAGAAGTGGAGGCAATAGCATACGAACCAGCAAGTGGCATATATCCGTTCGCAGTTTGTAGATCTGAAGGCGTTCGTCGATTAGGAATGACGCGGCCACTCATCGTTTGATGGGCGTCCCTATCTTGCATGTGAAATGGACCGGTCATTGACATAGAACGATCCTCGTGTCTTTCGGGTACAACACGCCCCTGCGCAGTAGTTCTTGCGGAATACTGGTGCGAGTAAGGAGCCTGGCGAGACTGGTTCGCAGGCGACTGTTGATAGGCATGCGGCGACTGTGGGAACATTTGGGGTCGGGAGGTCGAGGCGAGGGATTGAGAACGGTAAGGGTCAGTATTTAAGGCAGCACCATGTGGTATTTGATACATTCTTTGCCCCTGATGCCTTGCGCCTGCTGCTTGAGGTGGCACACCTCGAGATTCCATCCTCGGAGGCATCGGGCCGCCCGCGTTGGGATACTGGCGACGTCCCTGCGGCATGTACTGGTTTGGTGGATATTGCCCGCCCGAAGCAGATCGTTGACCTTGGTAATAGCCAGCAGGAAGGCTGCCTTCCGAAATTCGGCTGCCGGCAGGGGCCGGCTGCTCATAATCACCATAGTAGCCCTGCTGAGGTCGTTGCTGGGGAGCGTGCCGGGGAGCGCTCGGCAACCCTCTTCCTTGATCCATCATTGGAGGCATTGTAGATGAATTCATGGTTTGCGACCTGCCCGGCGGCGGCGCGGCGCCGAATATGTTAGAAAAAGCTGCATCGCGTTGTGGATTATTGTCCGGATAGCCTCGTTGTCGCGGAGGGGGGCGTGTATCGTAAGGGTAATCCGCCATAGCTATACAGGTGTAAGAATGCATCCATCCATGTATGAGCTCGTAGAAACAGTTGAATGTTACTATACCTTCGGGGTGATTCGGGCGCGGTCGAGGCACACAGGTAGGCAACTCTCCGAGGCAATTTCACCCCCGGAGCCAGGCTTCGTCAAAGCTCCGACGAGATGAAAAGCGCGGCGTCTTCCTTGAGTTCAAATCAGAATGATCGCGCTGATTGGCTTTAGTCGCCCCGGGTGAGCCGTTAGCACTGCAAAGACCCGTTCCTGCGTTGGTAGGTAGTTGAGAGGGCCGCCGCACAGTGAGCACTGATTAAGACGGTAGCATCGATCTGTAGGCTCGAAGAACAGCGTTTTGTAGATGGAAGACTGTCTCTCCCACCTCGTCGTACGTTTGCAGTGTTGTCTCGATCCAGTCACACCTTGTGCCGCGCAGACGCTGTGAGGGATTGGTTGCGAGCTGTCAATTGCCTTCACATGTGGCTTAGACAATCTTCGCGTCGTAGGGGTCAAACACGCCACAGTATGGCTGTGCGCATTAGTGGCTGGTGACTTACTGGGTCAGAGACTGAACAAGATGGCACCAGACGATTGAATAATACATGATTCAGCAGAAAATAATTGGAGGATTGAGTAAATGTACTAATTTAATTTTGCGTTGGATCGCCTTTTGAGCTGGATGTAGCAAAGGAACAGGTCAGTTGCTTGCCTCTGGGCTTTAAGCTGGCATTAGTCACGTGCAAGAATGAAGTGTGGTAGGACCGACACAGGCAACAGCTACCTACCTCTAGGCATTCGACAGAGAGCTCCCTCGACAGCTCGAGAGGGGCAGTATCATTCCACAGAGAACAACCCCTCGAGCACCACCTGGCATATAGATGCTCAATATGGATTCTGAAGTTGCACCAAAGTTTGCGCCCTTTATTGGCATGGTAAGATATAGGGGTTCAACTATGTTTCAATATCCTGCTGACACGTTTTGCTTAGGGTGGCATTGCTGCGGCAATGGTATTCGGATGTATGCGCGACTTTTTCCCACGCGAACGATAACATTCAAAGAGGAGAACATGGCTGATCTTCTACAGCTATCGGTGCTGCATATGGAACCGCGAAATCCGGCATTGGTATTGCGGGTGTGGGAACGTTTCGACCTGACCTGATCATGAAGGTAGGTCATGGCGAACATCGCTGCTCTCATCTGCAAATTGAACGCTGACTGTTCAAGTGTCTGATTCCTGTCGTCATGTCAGGTATCATCGCTGTTTACTCTTTAGTGATTTCGGTCCTCATCGCAGAAGACTTAACGCCGCCGTCTGTGGGCAGCTACAGCTTGTTCGCGTAAGTGCCGCCTCGCGTGCAGCGCCGTGCACAAAAGCAATTCCGATACGTGTACTAACGCTCCTAAGCGGGTTTTTACACCTTGGTTGTGGTATCGCTGTAGGCATGACAGGTCTAGCTGCAGGATATTGCATTGGCGTCGTCGGCGAAGCTGGCGTCCGTGCGTATATGGAGCAGTCGAGAGTATTCGTGGGCATGGTGTTGATTTTGATTTTTGGAGAGGTTCTCGGGCTTTACGGGTATTCGACACATAATGCTCTGACATATAACATACTGACTCGGTTGATAGGCTCATCGTCGCGCTTCTCCTCAACACACAAAGCAAGGGCTAATGTTAGCCCACTGTCTTGAGGATAGCTAGGGCTACTGTCGAGGACTCAGCTGCTAGCATATGCTGCATTGTGGCGCGTATTCTGGCCAGACTGCACTGCACGATCTTGGCGTTCAGGGAGGCCCTGCACATGATGGTCGCCGCAGCTATATAATTAAGCCGTGTGCATAGCTTCTTTCGGGTAATAAAATGACAAGGCATGATAAACATCAATTTGCATAACGGTCATCATTGAACACACAAGTTGGACCAATCCTGGCCATGGAAGAACCTGCTTGCACTAAATCGACTCTTTTCATACAGTATCAATGCATGGGTAAGATGCGCGGACCAGCCCGGCGGGACAGACGTCTTCGTTGCAAGGCATCAGCCTCGCCACGAATTCTTGTCCAGCTGCGTTCGCGCTCTTCCCATCCACTCATTTGGGCTGTATCCGACCATTAGCGATGCATTCTTCGTGGTCGAAAAAAAGAATGGCAGAGCGTGTACTGACCCAGCAACCAGTCCCACTGTCGTTCTTCTTGCTGGAGCGATGTGCATGATCCTTCCCTCGCCAATCTTTCTCTCCTGGCTTCAGCGGCGGCTTGCTCGCCAACCAGGTATGGGTCTTCGAGTGGTCGAAACGTCTTGTCATTGGCGGCATTGTGCTCTTCCAACAGTCTGGCGGTTCTTTGGCGCTCTGGAGTGCCCCCTGTTTGGTATCTTCCGTCGACCACGCGTCGCTCAGCTACGTTGCGGTAGTGTCTGGTGATCGGGGCATCTGCAGCTGACCACATTGGGAAGCTAAAATGCGGCGATACTCTTGTCGGCGGCCGTGCTGGAATGGGTGGAAGACCAATTGTCTGAAGTCGATCGGACTCCAGATGAGGCTGGCTATCGTGCGAATCTGCTTCGGCGACAACAGCATTCTGGGCCGGGCTCACGGGTCCTCTGGGGGTGTAGAGCGGAGCTGCATCTGTATTTGCCACGGTTGAGTGGTAGGAGGGCGCATCGGATACTACTGGTTGTATTAATTGTTGCACCAGACAGTCTTCTCGGCTATGTTGCCTTGTCAGCCGCTCTTTATCAGGCAATCTCCTCACTCACCATATGACGGAGCCGCCGATCTGATGGAAGCTGTTTCTAGGTCCCGTGTGCTGTATCTTGGCGCTGTCACTGCCATCTTGATTATCCGTTCCGCTACTCGGTGGTTGGCCAGAGTATGACTCCAAGTGACGATCTTTACGGGTTTCCGATAGTGGACAGCTAGGATACAGCTCACGATTTACGTGGTTCTTTTTGTGAGCGGGGGCTGCCTACCTATCGGTTTGTATAGGTGCGGGCCAAGATAGCTGACGGTACTGGCTGACGGAGCTACGGAACTTCGTGCGGCTTTGGTAATGCAGATGCGGCAGAATTCTTGGGCATGGGCACACGACCCCGCCACTTCAAGCATTGTGGTGTTGAGTGACATCAATTACACGTGCCACGCACCCACCTCT